ATTTCAGATTCTACATTGCAACTAATCTTAAGAAACCACCACTGCTTACCGAAGAATAGTGTTGTCTTGAGGAAAAGCACTTAGGAGGTTGAATTGCAAGCTCAACTAGTCACTTTTTCATAGAACAGTTTTGGTTTAATATCAAAGCATGAAATCCACAATTACCTCAAAAGGCTGTTCAAATACTCGTCCATTTTCTAGCTAAATGCCTGTTTGGAAATGGATTTTCTTCTTCTTTAACCAAAACAACATATTGGAACAGATTGAATGCAGAAGCAGATAAGATCCAGCTGTCTTCTATTAAGACATATTTTAAAAAAATTGGCAAAAATGTAAAACAATACCACTCACTGATTTTTTTTTTTTTAGAAAGGAAAATAGTTTTTATTTATTTATTTATTTATTTTATTATTTTTTTAAAGATTTTATTTATTTATATGACAGAGAGAGACAGCGAGAACAGGAACACAAGCAGGGGGAGTGGGAGAGGGAGAAGCAGGCTTCCCGCGGAGCGGGGAGCCCGATGTGGGACTCGATCCCAGGACCCTGGGATCATGACCTGAGCTGAAGGCAGACGCTTAACGACTGAGCCACCCAGGCGCCCAGAAAGGAAAATAGTTTTTAAATTAAAATGTGTTATTTCTATTAACATGTAAAGGTTTGCTATTACTATTTTTAAATGAGTTATGTTTTAAAAATTTCTCAGGTTGTAATTTCTAAGAGGCTAAATACCCGTAGTTACAGCCCAGAGAAACTAGAGGTCCTGAGACCAGATGCTTGAGAAGAATGGTGTGTTTCCTCTAACTGCCCATCATTCTGCTTGTCTGTGCTAGGAATGGCCATGTGAGGAATTAACATCTCCGTTTGCATCCTAAGGTCCAAATTCTTCCTCTTTTGATCTTTTTTTTTTTTTCTCTTCGTATAAGTGCATCTGGATTCTTAATTTAGTTATTTATTTTTTTGGATTTAATTTTGGGGTTTTTAATTTTAGAGTGTCTCTTGGTATCTTTTTTCTTCATTCATATTGCCGTCAACCCAGTCAGAGCCCATCTCACTTTATTCCTGAATTACTTCAGTGCTCCAGTTTTTCCTAATATGTTTTTCAAATTTGAGTGTTAAATCTAATCTGAGGGTTGACTTGACTTTATATATTCCTTGAAAATGTACAGATAAAATCTTCTCATGGTAAAACCAAAGTGGAGTTACTACAAATTAAACACTAGTCATATCAGCAGCACATATTTAATGATGCTATTTGGTTAAAGCTGAATAGCCAACAGGAGAGCTTGTAACAGAATGCCATAGCCTCAGGACCAGTTTTATAATAAATCTGTTTATTTAATTTGGCTTAATAATACACAGCTCATGGCTATTTGCATAAATATATTTTATAAAATGGCAAGTTAACTTTCAGGATAATCAGACCTAGTAGTTAACCTGAATGGTGGCACCTAGCAGTCCTTGAATGCCAGTTTTAATGCCAGTTGATATCCTGTGAAGCTGTGTTGATCACTGGAGCATTGTGGAGTGGTGAGATATACATTGAATCAATATTTAATCCAATTATTTTGGAATCCTTACTGGAAAATACTGTGCTGCATATTTCACTACTGGGTTTGCTGGTTGGTGGGATCTCTGTATCCCCTTGGCTTTGCAAAGGTGTAGGGTGCCGAGTGTCCTCGGCACAGGTTCGTTTGTCAACTTACCATACCTGCCTTCCCGTACTTACCTGTTTGGTGTCTTTCATAGCATTCAGCACTGTCTTGCATACTAACCGTTTTACTTTGTTTTTGATCATTTCCATCCAAGTAGGTTTTAAGTTCTCTGGGGTTACAGATTTTTGTCTGTTTTATTTACTGCTAAGTGTTCAGTTTCTTTAATAGTACCTGGTATGTGTGGGATGTTCACTAAATAGGTGTTGAATGAGTGAATGTATATTAACACTGCTCTCTATTCAAACTCTAAACTCAGAGGCTCTTTTCTGTGTAATGTGCTTGATGCTCTCTTGCCAGCTGGGGCGGAGACGTTTCTCTGACCATCTTAAGCACAGCTAAACTAGACTTGAATTGCGTGGAATCCTTTTGGTTCTTCTGATCAGTGCATGTGAAATCAGGGTATGATTACTTTCCTTGGTTCAGATTCTGTATTTCTATTAGTGTAGCCAAAATGTGCATTATCTTAAGTAGACACCATCTTAAAGCTTTTATGGAGTTTTTTTCCCTCTTTTTAAATTGTTCAAGTATAATGTTATCTGAGTTTTAAAATAGTACAATTATATGTGGGAATTTTCCCTCAATTTTGTTTGAAGTTAAGGTTTATAAAAGTACCAACTGCCGTAATTACTACCTGTTTTTAACCTTTTTAAAAAGATTTATTTATTTATTTTAGAGAGAGCAAGTACACGTGCTGGGACGGGGAGGGGTAGGGGGAGAGGGAGCCTTAAGCAGACTCTAGGCTGAGTGTGGAGCCCGACTTGGGGCTCAGTCTCACGACCCTGAGGTCACGACCTGAGCGGAAACCAAGAACTGCTTAACCAACTGTTCCAACTTAACCAACTGTTTTTAAATAGTTCTAATCATTGGTGCATTTTTTTTTGTTTTTTTTTTTCCTCCTGTTTAACATTTTATATCACATTTTTTATGTGGTTTTGTTCTGTTGATAATTTTCAAAAGTGGATGTCATTTTTAAAATTTATTTATTTAAATGTATTTATTTAAATTAAAGATTTTGTTTTTAAGTAATCTCTACACTCAACTTGGGGCCCAAACTTATAACCCTGAGATTGGGAGTCACATGCTTCCACCAGTGGAACCAGCCAGGTGCCCCAAAAGTGGATGTCATTTTATATGTGCTGCCGAAGCGAGCACAGTGGATGTCATTTTAAAAGTGAATGTTTTTACATTGGGTTGTTGTATAATTTAATTCCCTCTCTCTTTTTTCTTTTAAACTTTATTTCGGAATAAGTTTAGATTTCTGTAACCCTGGTACATTTATCAAACGTAGAAACGTTTGATATGTCAATATGTTACTATTAATTAAACTGGAGACTTTATTTGGATTTTACCAGTTTTTCCACTGATACCCTTTTTCTGTCCCAGGATCCAGGCCAGGGCGCCACACAGCATTTAGTTATCTCCTTAGGCCTTCAGATCTGTGATGGTTCTTCAGGCCTCTCATTGTTTTCATGATCTCTTGATAGTTTTGAGGAATACTGGTCAGGTATTTTGTAGAAATGTCCTTCAGTTTGGGTTTATCTGATGTTTTTGTGCGCTAAGACTGAGGTTATGGGTTATGAGGTTTTGGGGAAGAATACCACAAAGGTGAAATGTCCTTCTTATCACATCACGTTGAGGGGGTACACGATGGCAACATGGCTTGTCCCTGATCTTTTATCCATAATCGTTTGGGGTGAGGGTGGTGCCTTCCAGGCTTCTCTGCTGGGATATTACTGTTTCCCACACCACACTCTGCTGTGGAAATGAGTGACTGAGTCCAGCCCCTGCTCACGGGGAAGGGACCTGAGTTCGACCTCCCAGGTTAGAGAAGGATACATGTGTTACTACTATTTGGAATTCCCTGTAAGGAAGATTTGTCCCTTCTTCCTCCATTTACTTGTTAATCACTTATTCATATCATGGACTCATGGATACTTATTTTGGTAATCGGTTATAACACAGTAACATTGCGACTTTGCTACTCAAATTGTTACAGCTTTGGCTGAGCTAGAACATAGCCCGGCCTCAGAATCCATACATACCTAACCCTTGAGTGATGGCCTGAGGCGACCCCTAGCGCAGTGCGGAAGGGCTGGGCCACTGGACCCCTCACTCTGTCTTCCTTTTCACAGGCCACGTTGTCTTTATTTCCCCTTCGGCATAAGATCTGCTTCTCAGGTAATTAATTTTTTTTTAAGTTTTTTTTTTTTTTGTTAATCCCCATACATTACATCATTAGATTTAGATGTAGTGTTCCATGAAGGTAATTAATTTTTATCTTTTACCAAGGGTAACATTTATATGTCTCTCTAAATTCTCTTTATATTTTTTCTTCCTTACCTACAAATCTTAATTACTGTTAATTTATTTTTTGTTTTTTTTTTAAAGCAGTGGATTTTAACTTAAAAAATAAATGAGGGGCACCTGGGTGGCTCAGTTGTTTAAGGGACCAGCTCTTGATTTTGGCTCAGGTCATGATCTCAGGGTCCTGGGATTGAGCCCTGCCCCCATCGGGCTCCGTGCTCAGGGTTCAGTGGGTAGTCTGCTTGAGGATTCTTTTTCTCACTCCCTCTCTCTCTAAAATAAATAAATTTTTAAAGAATTGGGGTGCCTGGCTGGCTGAGTTGGTAGAGCATGAGATTTGATCTAGGGGTCATGAGTTTGAGCCCCATGTTGGGCACAGAGCTCAACTTAAAAAAAATTAAAAAATGCAATTATTAAATGAGACGAACAGCTACCGCCAAAGCATTTGAAACAAACACTGTTGAAGACTGGCAGTTTTTCAGAGTCGGCAATTTGATGGCAGTCTCACTGGGAAGTAAAAAGACGTCTTAGTTAGGGAAGGACATCAAGACTATTGCAGTCGTATTACTTAAATTTTGGTAGGTTTGGATTTGACCTTACTGAGTCTGATAGTAAAGAGTCAGAGGTAATGCTATTAATTTAGTTAGGGAGGCTGAGTAGTACATCTAGTTTATTACTTAGTTTTCTTAAGTAGAAACAGAACCCAGCAAGACTAAAAAAATGGCCAGTGCCTTGATTCAGCAAATCATTTAGGAATGAAGAACCTTTAAAGAAAGGCATCAGAGGAACTGAAAATGCCTAGGGAACTTTTTTTTTTTTAAAGATTTTATTTATTTATTTGAGAGAGAGAGCACATGAGAGGGGGGAGGGTCAGAAGGAGAAGCAGACTCCCCGCCGAGCAGGGAGCCCGATGCGGGACTTGATCCGGGGACTCCAGGATCATGACCCGAGCCGAAGGCAGTCGCCCAACCAACTGAGCCACCCAGGCGCCCGGGAACTTTTTTTTTTTAATTTTTTGTCATTGGTCACTCAGTAGGGAGGGGCAAGGATGCCACCTCAGGTAAAGACCCTTCACTGGTTGGACCTGCGAGAGAAGAAAGCTGATTCTTGGGCTTTGTGTCCTGGTCCCTTAAGGGGTGGAGACTTGTGTCCTGGCACAAGACTGGGGCTGTCGAAACCCGAGAGGGCGGGGCTCCTTACCAGGTGTGCAGGAAGCAGAGCCACCCTATTGTAACTGGTCCCTCTGAGGAGGTGGTCGCCAGAGCACATCTCTCTTACTTCAGGCATTGTTGTACATGTAATCCCAATACCAAGAATGCATCTCAGACCCCTCTGTATTTCACGTGACAAGAACACCTAATCCAGACTGGTTTAAGAAAAAAAAAAAAAAAGGATTTTCTTGGCTCGTAACTGAAATTCTGGAGTTGGGTTTGGCAAAGCATGCCTGGTTCAGGGCTCGGGAGGTGATTAGAGTCCATTTCTTGGCTTTGGGTGTTTTTTCTTTTGCTGTTATTGACTGGTTTTTGCAGGCTCTTCTCATGTTTGTGAGTTGGATTCCAGCAATTGTTTGGGCAATGTATATCCAGGTTTGAATCTAAGTGGAAAAGAGTGAGCATTCTTGTCCTCACTTTGCAGGGAGCCTCCTGAGATTTTTCCTGTGACCAGACCAGTCTGGTCATGTATCCAGTGTGTACTGGTGACTGTCGGCAGGGAGCGGTGGCCCTGGTGCCATGTAGTCCTCAGAGGAGGGTTGGTGGGAAGTTTCCAGAGAAGGTGAGCTGATGCGGGGTGGCACAGACGACACCATGTCTGCTGGTGGGGCAAAGCTGACTTACAAGGGCATGGTGTGCAGGCTATTAGAGCTTGGTTTGATTCATAAAATAGACTGTAGACTATGTAATTTTCCTTAATTTTATGTAAACTATATTTATGTTATTCTGTAAGGTTTTACTGCATTGTATGAAGGTTTTGATGGTTTCCTGCCATAATCTGGTTTGTCTTTTTAATTAAAACCTGTTGTTTTAGTTTTACTGTATATGGGTAGAGTCTTGTTTTAACGACTAGAGCTATACTCTGTTTTGAATAAGAGAAGTCCTTTTCATATCCTGGACAAAAATCCTACTAGTGCCATTTTACTTATGAAACTAAACAAGTCTTTTGAATGAGAAATCTAAAAATTGGACGTATTTACAAATCCTCATCCATTTTTAAAATTTATTTATTTTTAAGTATTTTATTTATTTATTTGATAGAGAGAGCAGGACAGAGAGGGAGAGAGAATCTGAAGCTGGCTCCACACTCAGAGCCAGACGCGGGGCCCGATCCCATGATGATGAGATCATGACCTGCGCCGAAACCAAGAGTCTGACGTTTAACTGATTAAGCCACCCAGCACCCCAATCCTCATCCATTTAATGGCACGTTATTTTAATACGGGTTTCTTTCTGCCAGTATATGAATGTTTGGAACATAATACTTACTGGGTTGTGGTATGGTGGAAAGCAGAGTCAGAAGACCTCGTTCGAGGCTGTCATTCATTGGGAAGGGTGAGGGGCTGGCTGACGTTTGGAGGCTTACTGCATGCTTAGAACTAGGTGATTCTGTGTGTTTGGTGTTTGCAACCAACTTGGAGGTATTGATGTCATCCCTGTAGTACTTCCTTAGTAAAAAGAAATTACAGAAGCTCCAGGTTTTATATTCAGGATCTCTTGACCGTGGGGTCTGAATTGTCCTGAGACTCATCTCCTTGGCGGTTTCTTGGTGGTGGGGTACATTTCCCTCATTTTCCTTGCCCACGCCTGGGAGTTCCCACCCTTCCTTTTCATACCTTGTGGCACACCTAGACTTTGTGAGCAGTTCACCATTGGTGTATGTTAGTAGACGTGTTTTGTTTTTGTTTGTTTTAAAATATATTTGCCAGGGGCGCCTGGGTGGCTCCTCGTTGGTTAAGCCTTTGGCTCAGGTCATGATCTCAGGGTCCTGAGATCCTGCTCAGTGGGGAGCCTATTTCTCCCTCTCTCTCTGCCCCTCCCCCCGCTTGTGTGCGCACGCACGAGCGTGCTCTCTTTCTCTCTCTCTCAAAAAAATAATGTATTTGCCAGGCACACAGCCAGGCTCTGAGATTTTAAAATGAATAAGAACGGTTCTTGCTACTGAAGAACTTCCAGTGGGGATGAACTGGAGTGAAAAACATGAAAATATGATTTTAATATGTTGTAAATGCTATGATAGTGGGAGGGGATTTATTGTAAAACATTATTCTAAATGGTACCTTAAATTTCATTACTTTTTTAGTCGACTAGCCTGTTTATCCCTATGGGTTCAAAGAACAGTCTGCACACTTTTAGATTTATTTCTTAGATTGTTATTCAGAGGTCATGATCCTTGTATTTGGATAATTCCCATAGGTGAATTACCATAATTTTTCTTTTCTTTTTAAAAGATTTTTATTAGAGTATGAGAAGGGGGGGGTCAGAGGGAGAAGCAGACTCTCCGCCAAGCAGGAGCCCGATATGGGACTCGATCCCGGGACTCCAGGATCATGACTTGAGCCAAAGGCAGCCGCTTAACCAACTGAGCCACCCAGGCGCCCCTACCCTAATTTTTCTTATTTCTCTCTATTGTGCATAGTTACCAGATCATCCTGTAGCGTAACACCTTCACTTATATACTTCTTTATTTGGAAGAGCTGTGTGAAATTTCTAAACATGGAAATCTTGCCATACATGCCATCTTACAGAGAGGTTGATTCCAGAATCAATTTTGAAATGTTGTGTTCTTATCTTGCAACTTGTACAATTAATACTTTTGGTCAGAGAGACTTTTGTTGTGACATACTTCATCAGAGACGTTGTTACTAATGGTAGGAACACCATGGAAGGGACTCCACACTCTTCCACAGGGAGGTTCTAGTATGAAAACACGGAATGCTAACTGATGTAACGCTCTCTCTTCACCAGCGCAGATGTGCACCTTAAAGAAATGAACTATGGTACCCCCGGGTACCGCACGCTGGGGGCAAGTTAGTGCCAGGACCCTGCTCCCAAGTTCCGTCAGGTGCAGGGGCATCACCTGCACAGGACCGAGAATTTGTCAAGGCTGGGGATGGACTAGTTGTGGGTTAGTCTGGGAGCTAATGAAGCAGGATAATCCCTTTTTATCTGATGGCTTTCCCTTCTAGTTCCTAGGCCTTTGAAGTGCTACAGGTCTGAAAATAATTTGTATAGACTTACTTGAGCTCATCTCTTAACTAGCAGATATGAAAGCAAACGATTACCAGTTATTTCTTAAATAAAGCCCATTTTTTTCCTGACTTCGGTGTCTTTTTGGCCTACCTCACCATCTTCTGTCATCCTCACTTGTACTTTGCCTCAAAGATGGGGTCATCTTCCTGAGTCCAGGCTTTCTGGGTCTGCCTTTGCTCCCAAAGGCAAGGTCACGCTTGGAACCTTCTCAGTTATCTCTGTGGCCTCATCCAACTGACTTAGCTCAAGTTCTGAAATCTCTTCATTCTTCTCATTCCCTCAGTGCTTGTAATTTGGGGTCTTCACTAGTTTGGTGTCCATCTTTGTTACCTTGGCAGAGCCCCATATCCAGCTGTTCCCTGCTTATACCTTAGGGTCCCTTCTGTTCTTTCTTGACCTTTGGAAATCCAGCTCAACTTTGAAGGTTGAGTTGTCACCTTTCCTGCCACTCCCTCCTGAGGACTTTTTCCTGTATGTCTCATACTGTATTTTCTTCTCTTCAGCTTGTTGGGTGGGACCTAAGCTCCACGAGGGCAAGTTCTGTGTCATTTATCTTTGTATATTCAGGGCCGGGTTCCTAGTAGTCGGTTATCCTGTGCTTATCTCGCCCCCCTTTCAGCCTGAGTAATCCACGAGGCTGCTTTCTTTGTCATTGGTGGGTGGGTATTCTGACAGAAAGTTACCCACTGACCTCCGGCCTGTTTTCTCTAAATCTTGTCTCCTTAGGTGATTTCTCTGTGCCCGAGGGTTTTATGTGGACAGGTAAATGAATCCCTGCTTAGTTACTGGCTATTCAAGCCAGAACACCATCCACTCCCATATTTAAGTCATCACCAAGTTTTCTCTTAAGTGACTCTTGAATTCCTTTACTTTCCTCATCACCAGTGTGGTGGGAGGTGGGAGAAGCTACCCTCCTCTCTTGTGCAAAGACTACTGCAGCCCTGTCTAACCCCCTCTGCTGCTCAGTGGCTCTTTCCAGAATGTCAATCTCCCCCTTCCCTTTTATTTAAAAAATTCTGGCTTTCCTTTGTTTGTAGATAAATGAAAGCAAACATCCCTAATGTGGCACCACCTTTGCACTGTCTGACAGAGAAATGTCCTAATCTTTTGAAGGCACAAGTGTGATTTTAATACTTTGAGAAGCAGATGTTCTAGAAGAGGACACTTGTTTAGACTTAAAATGGGGACTACTCTGTCGGATGACTTAGGCACCTGGGGGACTATGGGCTGTCCCCACATTTAAACATAATTGGTTCCTAGAGCCTGCAACTGAAGATAAGGCTGAAGAATTTACTTGGCACTTGCTGCATTTCTGGTTTGCTAGCCGAGAAACCCCTCATGTGAGTAAAGGTGTACAAGAGGCAGAAATACAGACTTCTCAGTGTTGATGGCGAGAAGCATGGTTACAAGTGTGTTTCAGGGGACCGCTTTCATTTGTACATTTGTTATACGTTGTACTATATATTTTTTACTTTATTGCTGCATGTACATTTTTCTTTTTCACATTTCTCTTTTTCAGTTATGTTATTCATTTATGCCTGTACCTGCTGACTTAATGATGAAAAACTTAGAGTAACGTGTCTACATTTTTTTTCCCTCCAGAAGTGTGGATCTCATAGACTAAAAACTAGCTTGTTGTAGTATGCTTCCTTTCTCTAATGGGATCACATTTCCGTAAGACGGCTGCTTTTTAGGAGTGGAGAGCCTTTGTCAATAAAAATATCTTTTAAAAGTTGTATTCAATCAAAACTTAGACGGTGAACGAACTGTTTTACGGATGTAACCCTGCAGCCCGAGTGAGCACTCTTCTCGCACGTGTCCCTGGCATCATGTACTGTTTCTTTTGTTGATTGTTAGTTTGCTGGGGATGAAAGCACAAGTGATCATATTCAGGCTGGTTAGATTAGTGATTTTAATATGAAACCATTGCTTTTAGAATAATCATGGGCCAGACTGGGAAGAAATCTGAGAAGGGACCGGTTTGTTGGCGCAAGCGTGTAAAATCAGAGTACATGCGACTGCGGCAGCTCAAGCGGTTCAGGCGGGCTGACGAAGTGAAGGTACAGCTTTTATCTTCTGTGGAGCGCACCCATGGTTAAGGTTAAGGATCGTCCCCCCCCCCCCCCCCAAGATAAGTTTCAATTTGCAAGATAAGTCCGATTTCAGCCAAGGTCATATTTGTAGTAAGATAAATGAAGGCTGGGAAACCCAGGGCCTTGATCTGTCTTAATTAACCTAAAGACGGTCCCAGGCACGGGAACGAGAATGGAAAGATTGTAATCTAATGGCTAGTCACTCTGCTTTGAAATCACTATCTTTTTAGTGTATCCTTTGTGTTGCACATGCAGATTGGGGACCCAAATATAAAGGGATGTGTTTCAGGGTTTTATGTTTCTAAAGTCATTGTGATTTTGTTTTTATATGATGTTAACAAAGAAAGGATGGAATGATTTTCTGGTCCCCGCCCACTCTTAATAAAATAATCCGTGTGGTGCTTTTGTGTTATTCGAATGTGGGAAACTAGAGTTTAGTGTAAAATCTGTATGTGTGTGAAGGAATGCTCCTGTTATTTTTGAGAAATCACTAGATTTTAACCTACGTTAGAGATACTATGAATTTTCTAACAATGAACAATTTCTCTTCTCCTCTCCTTCATTTTTTTAAAGAGTATGTTTAGTTCCAATCGTCAGAAAATTTTGGAAAGAACGGAAATCTTAAACCAAGAATGGAAGCAGCGAAGGATACAGCCTGTGCACATCCTGACTTCTGTGAGCTCATTGCGCGGGACCAGGGAGGTTGGTTAACTCACGCACTGTAGTAATTATCAGTGCATTCTGGTTTTTGCTGTTGCAATGTTGGTTGGTTATTGATAGGAAGTCATTTACCTCAGGATGTCCATCTTTTTATTGTTCTTTCTTTTTCATGTGCAACTATGAGTGGCTGCCTTAGGTAACCTACTAGTTACTCCTATACGAGAGCTGTAGTGTTTAGCATATATTTTCACTGTTACCAGGTAGGTGTGTAGATTTTTATAGGATTGTTGATTAAAAAAAACTGTTAAGTTAAATGCTCTTTAACGGCCTCATCAGATCACTGTTTAGAGCAAGGCTTTCTGACTCAGTTTTTTTTCTGCCCCTTAATATAAATTAGCTATGCTATAAGAAATGTTTCCTTTTCATTCATGTTCATGGACTATGAAAGTTTTTTATTATTTGAACGTTTTGTTCAAATTCTAAGGCTCTCTAAGAATTTTTAAATTCAATGTTGAGAGATCAGAAGTCCTTTTCTATAGTATTTTCTGAAGGAAGGTGATAGATCTTAATCCTATTTTCAAAAGAAGGCAATAAATGTATGGCAGGTTTTATAATTAAAAGACACATAAAACACAGTGGCAGTAAAATGAAAAGAAAATGGCAGAAGCCTGGGGCACCTGGATGGCTCAGTTGGTTAAGTGTCTGACTCTTGATCTCAGCTCAGGTCTTGATCTCAGTCAGGGTTGTGAGTTCAAGCCCCCCCCCCCCCCCCCCCGTGGAGCCTGTTAAAAAAAAAAAAGAAAGAAAGAAAATGGCAGAATCTGAAAAACGTATCGAACTGATCAGTAGGGTTTTGGGTAAAGCACTGCAGTGTAAGTCCCTGTCTATACAGGAAAACACGACGTAGGAGGTGGGATGCTGGTGGAAAGGGCACCCAAACAAGAAGAAGGAAGGAAGTGATTCGGAGTGTACATCATACCACACAGTGGATGGTTGTTTCTCTGAGTGTCTAAACACAGGAAGCATCTAGACAGTGGGATCTATTCTAAAATACGTTTTCAGTGAGGATGTGATACTTCACAAAAAATTGTAATAAGCAGTAATTGGCTAGCACATGAGACACGCTGGCCTCGGACTTGTCAGTCCTGTCACAGTAGCTTGGTCCTGTGATGACTGTGATCATGCTCTGGTGGTCTTGGTGGTGACACATGACTTGGAATGATTCTTAGTCATTTATTCATTTTGTCAGGTGACAGCTCTTTAAAGCTTGGGCTTGCAGTTGTGTAAATATGTATTCTATGCTGCTGACACCTTCTGTACCGTCTGGGACAGGTCAGGCCTACCTGGTAGAGGTAAATGACTTTATTAATACACAAGGGTGAAGGATTCGTTTCTGCGCAAGTCAGAATGTTCTCAAAAGGGAGAAGGATGGGGCTTCTAAGTAATTCTTTGGAAAGTTTTGTCTGGTGACCTTTTGGAAATTTTGAGGGTAAAGGAAAAAGAAACCTTGTTTGTTCTCCCCGGAAGGATAGATCTTAGGGATGTGGAGAAGTAAGTAGGCACCCATGGAATACTTACTTTTTGCCCCCCATTTCGACTCTCAAAATGCTACTGAAAGCCCATCTTATACTTATAAGTAAAAGTTCACAGCAATAATGATTTCTGGCAATGTGCTGGGTACTCTGCACACATGAACCTCCTTTAATCTTTGTGATAGTTGTATTAGGCCTTTTTCTCCCCCTGGACGAGGACACTGGGCCTTGGAAGACTAGTCAGTTTGCTTGCTCCAGTGATCTGATGCCCAGAAGAGCACACTTTGCTCAGACACATTAGGGAATGAGTACAGTTCATTGTTTATGTACATAAACTTGAGTTGTTCATAATACAATTTTAAGGACAGTTCATTCAAATGAGTACTACTTGAATTTTGCTTTTAGTTTTGTCAAATGGAGATAAATGTAAAGATATCTAATTTTTAACGTGACTTTATGTGAGAAATAGTAAGAAGAAATGTAATAAAACAGAATTGTTTTCTAAACTTAGTACCCCATGCAGATTGAGAAAAATCATTTTCACAAAATAGGAGGAAAGGACGGCAATCACCCCCTGCCTCAGGAACTCAGTTTTTGTTGCATGGAACTCTGACCTGGTCAAGGCTGTTAGTTTTTGAGCTACTCTTGATAGCTGATTCTGCTTCAAATGATTCATCTTTTACTTCCCCTACCCCCAACCCCCTTTAAAACCATTATCACTGACTTTTGGAAGCTGAACGTTTATGCAGTTTGTGATAAGCTTTTTGGTGTTCTCACAATAAAAATAATAAAATTTTAGGACTGAAAAGGACTTTAATGATCTCTGTCTAATCTCCTTATTTTGTAGATGAGACTGTATCCCGTTTTATTTTTCTTCAGTTTGAGCATTCCCGGCTGTATGTCAATTTCTTTTATATGCTTTAAAAGTTGGAGTCTGAAGTAGGTCAGAAGCAGGAGGATAAATAAAAGTTAGTGTGTTTTTGCAAAGACTTTCCTAGTAATAGGCTTGGCAGAAGTTCAGACTGCAGTGTTGGTCCAAACACCTAAAGTCTGTGGCTTTCAACATTGGGAAGTGCTGTTATAACATTGTTTTAATTAACTGCTTATTTTTATAAGCCGATCCTTTGTAAGTGCTGTCTTCAGTTTAAATCCTTTGCGGCATGAGGACTGTTCAACGACAGTTTTCAGTTTTTCACTCAAGTCTTCTACTTTAATCCCTTCTGTGCGTGTAAAGTAGATGTGCTCAGTTTTAAAATGACTGGTTTTTATCTAGGTTATTTTAGTGAAGAACGTCTGACAAAGGTCACACTCCCTGATCTAACGAAGTGGCCACTGTAGACGCTGACTTCAGATCAAGGAGCCCTGCACTTGAACTTAGAGACCCCGTCTTCAGTATAGTGTTTTCTTAATATGTATTTCTAAGATACTTGTGGGTACTTATTTTTTGGTGTTGAGGTTACAGAACCTAATCAGTGTTGCTCATACAATTTTTATACAGAATGTGTCAATATTTTTCTTTTTAAAAATACTCCTGAATTCTTGAAGACAGTGGCGGTATGTTTTACATTTATTTCCTTTACTCTTTAGTTAATCTCTTTAAGGAGGAGTCACCTTAAAAATGTCACTAAATGATGAGCACAGACCAAGGGATGCATACCTTATTGATAAGAGTATGTGGCTGTTTTTAAAAACCATTACTTCAAAACAAAACAAAACCCCAAAAAACCATTGCTTCTAGTTGACTTTTGTTACTTTGTCTTACCAGTAAAAAACTTGATCTTCTCTAAGTCTTCGCATCGGTAGTCCTGTTCTTCAGTGTGTCTGTTTTTCTAGTTTTAATGAAGAAACTGGTTTAGGAGTTAACTCTTGTAGTTCTTATGAGTGCATTTCTTTTTGTACATTTGTCCATTTCTTGCTAAAAACCAAATGGCGCTTATTTTCATTGATCTTCATACCAAGATTTTTATTACCTGTGTGTATTATGACTGAAAGAGAGGCTTGCTCAAATTATGTCTGTCTTCTGGGCAAGTGGTATGATTGGTTTAGTAATTTAAAAATATCCTGCCAGTATGCATTTGTAGATTCCTAGGAGAATTTATGTTCTTGTAGGAATTTTGTGTCTTGTTTACTAATGAAAATAGAATTTTTAGTGTATATTTACATGTGGGGCTTCTTCAGGATGCCTAACACAGCAGGATCATTAGAAAGACATCATAGTGCTCGCATTTATGAAGAAGTAAAACATTTTTAATACATACAGGTTTGATCCTCCTAGTAATACTTGAAATGACTATGAGTTCATGATCTATCGTTTGATATTTGCAAATTTTTTGTGGGGGTGGTGGAGAGTTTTCTATCAAAATAACAATGTAAGTTATATGTTTGCAGTTTGGACTTACTATTTTTATTGAAGGAGAAGGCTAACATTGTCTCATTTACATGTAAACACTTGATTGCATTATTTATTGACTGGTAATGCACTTTCCTCAGTTAATTGTAAATAGAAATTTTTGTTACTATTTACAAAGAAAAAATGATACATAGTGTACCCAGTATATAATTTAGTGCTCTTAAGTACACTCTCTCAACTTTCAATATAGTAACATGCTTTCTTTCCTTTGTAAATTTCAGGATTGTAGAACCAGTAGGTCTAGGTTCTCATGAGCCATTTGAGCAAATACGGCAGGGAGCAAGGTCATTTTTCTCATGTCTTAGAAATAGATGGATGGTTCTTAGTCTGAACACAGCCATCCTTTCTTGGTGCCTCAAGGAACTAGTTTCCAAGTTGCTTACTGTAGCTCTCTGCCTTTCTTTAGCCTTTTATTGGTATTTATTTGGAGAGTTGAGTCCTGTGGTAACTCTGCCAGTCCTTCCCACCCATACAACTTTTCAGATCACTGTAGCCTTAGCTTCCTCTCTGGCTTTCCTTAGGCTGAAATAGATGGAACGATTCTTACATGACCGTAAAGGAGGATTTCCTTTTTTTTTTGAAAGGAACTAATGTAAATGATTTATGCTATTCCAAGAGGTCATTTTAAAAAAAGAAAGGTCACTTATGATGTTTGCATTTATATATCACTGTCATATTAAATATATATCATATACTTAATGTCTAAGTTTAACTTAAGATTCTGTATCTGACATTCGGAAAGTGAATTTTTCACATTCTGTATCTGACATTCGGAAAGTGAATTTTTCACAGATGTCAGGTGTTTATTTTGTGCACCTAATAAACCAGCAGAAGTTGCTTTCAATTTGCTGTTTTTCTTCTAGAACATTGTGTATATAGTTGGTGTTTTATATACACACATAGTCAGCTATTTAACTGACTACAAAGATCAAGATCATTGATCAAGATCAAAGATCACTGATCTACAAAGATCAGTTCTTTTCCCAAAATGCAAAACCAAATTTTGACAGCTACTTCTTTTTTTTTTTTTTAAAGATTTTATTTATTTATTTGAGAGAGAGAGAATGAGAGAGAGAGAGCATGAGGGAGGGAGGGTCAGA